CTATGGGTTCTTTCCTGTGTCTTCTGCGATGAGCCTTTTCAGCTTCTGCGGACCCAGATTGATCCCTGCACCAGCCTTTGAGAGGAGAAATTTTCCACTTCACACACTTCTGTAAGGATTTCTGTGACCTGCTGGACCTCCATTTCGCCACACGAGGGCGCTTCATCTCTACTATCTTCAGCTCCTGCCCATTACCAGACCAGAAAAGAGAGGGGATTCTTCATGATATCATATACACATGCGTATTATTAATACGTTTCTGGTTAGTGCGCATTTCTAACTTTTGCACTGGGAATCAGCGAGCACCATTACTGGACTGTGATTTAATTATTTATTTATTTATTAATTTGCTTTGGTTTCATTATTTATATCTGCCTGCAATATAGTAACATCACACAGCGCTGCATTTTCTTTATATATATATTTTCAGGACTGTGTTTTCCTTGAATGTTCAGCTGCTGACCATTGGAGCGCTCACTGTATTTTATACTCTCAGGGGTTTTGTAATGATGGGGGGGTAGTATGGGGCAGGGGGTCCTGTGTAATGATGGAGGTAGTATGGGGGAGGGGATCCTGTGTAATGATGGAGGTACTATGGGGGTGAAAGTCCTGTGTAATCATGGGTTTTGTAATGATGGGGGTAGTATGGGGCAGGGGGTCCTGTGTAATGATGGAGGTAGTATGGGGGAGGGGATCCTGTGTAATGATGGAGGTACTATGGGGGTGAAAGTCCTGTGTAATCATGGGTTTTGTAATGATGGGGGTGTATGGGGCAGGGGGTCCTGTGTAATGATGGGGGTAGTATGGGGGAGGGGTCCTGTGTAATGATGGGGGTAGTATGGGGGAGGGGGCATGTGTACTGATGGTAGCAGTATGGGGGGAGGGGTCCTGTGTAATGATGGAGGAGGGGGGTCCTGCGTAGTGATGGGAGTAGTATTGGGGAAGGGGCCCTGCGAAATGTGAGAGTGAAATTGCATGGGGGGGGGGGGGGAAGGGGGCAAGAAAATGCTTGCCCAGGGTCCAGTCAATATTAAAGATGGCCCTGATGACATGTACACTACTTACCCCAACCCAGTGAGTGCATTATGTTTATTTACCATATGTATATGTACAGTTTGCACTTAGATGGAGGCGCCCTCTTTTGTTTAATTTTTTCAGGACCTGGTCTATGGGAGCAGCTACCATCTAGCAAACCCTACTTGAATTTATTTCTCACACATACCTATTCCCATTCTTTATCCCCTCCATAGCTGTCATTGGGGTGTCACAGTAGTGCCCCAGTTTGCCTCTAATTTACATGGTTGGACACCCCTGCTTTATACCATCACAGAAGATCCTGTACACCTGGCATCCATTACAAGCAAGTTGAGTGTATTAATGCCATGGATTTGCTTGATGCTTTCCAGACCATACTGGATCTAGTTCCCCATGGATAAAACATTGATTAAGGGGGTCTTCATTTATCTTGTTCCTCCATCCCACAAAATGAACAAAGAAAGGGTCTACGGCAAGTCATACATCAACCTTCTTTCCTTCAACCACAGGTTGAAGGAAAGAAAATTGCTGGCTTGCTCCATCAACACATTCAGTGTTGATGGGGGAATCCTTCCTGCAGAGTGATCAAACAAAAGAACCCGACAGGCTGATTGTTCTGAAGTTGATGGATAGACTTCAGTGGTACCAGCCTGCCCATACATGAATTGAAACTCAACTGGTTCCTGCTGAACCGGCTGATTTCGATCCATCTATAGCCGGCTTTAGATGCCATTAGAGCTCTCTTTCACAAGAACTGACCTTCCAATCTCCATTGTCTATGGTTTCCAGGACTCTCTTTCTTAAATGGGGATGCCTTTTTTTCCTTGCCCAGGCTTCCCACTCTGCTCCTCACTCAAGCAGAACTAAAGGATTTTTAGATTAAAAATCATTTTATATAAATCTACTTTACTAACTGAACTGGTTTTGAGAGGGTTTTTCCTGTATGAATGAGAAGATTCCCTAGATAATGGTCTCTGTGATTATAATTTGTTCCAGGTTTGGAGAGAAGGAGACCATTGAGATTATGTGAAAAATAAATATAATAAAAAATAAATAAGGAATATAACTCATGAACACTAGCTTTCTACTGTACTGTCTTTTGATAAGGGCAAGACAATTAGGAATTAAAGTCCAATAAAACATTCATGAAAATTGTAAAAAGCCAAACATTTCCATTCAGGACACCAAAATAAAACTTTGATATCCATCATAATGTTTTTAATAATCTTACAATTAAGATTGTGAAATACGTAAATTAGCCAGTTTGATTCTAGGTTGCCCAATTTTGAATATTTTCTGTTTTGAATTTTGTGAATCAATTTGAATTTTCGCATTCATTGTGCAAAATAAACCATTATGGGAAACATGGTAGGAGGAACCTTGCCAGCATTTAGAATCAAAATAAAACAGAGGAGTAATTTCAACTTCACCTGGAAACTGAAGACCGAGGATTATTTCCTAATAAATATAATATAATAGGATTAATAATATAATAAAGTTATTCCAGGATATACTTACAGGGGAGGTCAGTTGGTGCTGAGAATGTAGACAGCTGGAAGACGTCAGTGGAGCTCCACCCTACGGAGAACAGTGTCAGCTTGTAAAATAAAAGACAAGCTGTATACTATTCCAGTCACATCGTTCTCAGGAACACAACTGATATCACATGAATTTAGTAAAATATTTACCTCCTAGCCTCCAGATGGGACAAATATCCAATAAGCAGTCTGCAGCGCATCCAGAAAGTATTCCTAGCGCTTAACTTTTGACACATTTTGTTATGTTACAGCCTTATTCCAAAACAGATTAAATTCATTTTTTCCCCCAACATTCTACAAACAATACCCCATAATGACAACGTGAAAGAAGTTCCTTTTGAAATCTTTGCAATTTATTCAAAATAAAAAATGAAAAAAACCCCATGTACATAAATATTCCCAGCCTTTGCTCAGTGCTTTGTTGAAGCCCCTTTAGCACCAATTACAACCTCAAGTCGTTTGTGGAGTGTGATGCTACAAGCTCGGCACACCTATTTTTGGGCAATTCCCATTCTTCTTTGCAGGACCTCTCCAGCTCCATCAGGTTGGATGAGGAGCGTTGGTGCACAGCCATTTTCATAGATGTTCAATGGGGTTCAAGTCTGGCTGGGCCACTTCAGGACATTCCCAGAGTTTGCCCGTAGCCACTCCTTTGTTATGTGGGCTGTGTGCTTAGGGTTGTTGTCCTGTTGGTAGATGAACCGTCGCCCCAGTCTAAGGTCCAGAACGCTCTGGAACAGGTTCTCATCCAGGATGTCTCTGTACATTGCTGCATTCATCTTTCCTTCGATCCTGACTAGTCTCCCAGTTCCTGCCGCTGAAAAACATCCCCACAGCATGATACTGCCACCACCATGCTTCACTGTAGGGATGGTATTGGCCAGGTGGTGAGCGGTGCCTTTTTTCCTCCAGACATGATGCTCGGCATTTAGGCAAAAGAGTGCAATCTTTGTTTCATCAAACCAGAGAGATTTGTTTCTCATGGTCTGAGAGTCTCTCAGGTGCCTTTTGGCAACCCCCAGGCAGGCTACCATTTGCCTTTTACTGAGGAGTGGCTTCTGTCTGGCCATTGTACCATACAGGCCTGATTGGTGGAGAGCTGCAGAGATGGTTGTTCTTCTGGAAGGTTCTCCTCTCCACAGAGAAATGCTGGAGCTCTTTCAGAGTGACCATCCTGGCTTCCGTCTGGCCACTCTACCATATAGGCCTGATTGGTGGAGTGCTGCAGAGATGGTTGTTCTTCTGGAAGGTTCTCCTCTCCCCACAGAGAAATACGGGAGCTCTTCCAGAGTGACCATGAGCTGCTTGCTTACCTCCCTGGCTTCCGTCTGGCCACTCTACCATATAGGCCTGATTGGTGGAGTGCTGCAGAGAGGGTTGTTCTTCTGGAAGGTTCTCCTCTCCGCAGAGAAATGCTGGAGCTCTCTTGGGTGCTTGGTTACCTCCCTGGCTAAGGCCCTTCTCCCTCGATCGCTCATTTTTGCAAAGATTTTCAAAACAAATTTCTTTCACGTTGTCATTATGGGGTATTGTTTGTAGAATGTTGAGGGAAAAAATGAATTGAATCCATTTTGGAATAAGACCGTAACATAACAAAATGTGGCAAAAGTTAAGCGCTGGCAATACTTTCTGGATGCACTGTAAGTATCTCCTGATCTGCTATTTAGAAAGTGAAATTCCAGCCCAAATTTTTCAACCACTCCCCCTCCAAAAGATTCCCCCCCCCCCCCCCCTCCTGACCATGCCATTTTTTGCATTACGGTGCTGCGTTACTGTAACTGACAATTGCGCGGTCTTGCAACGCTGCACCCAAATAAATTTACGTCCTTTTCCCCCCACGAATAGAGCTTCTTTCAGTGGTATTTGATCGCCTCTGCGGTTTTTATTTTTTGTGCTGTATGCGCTAAAAGAAAGAGCGACAATTATGAAAAAAAAAAAACTATATTTTTTACTTTTTGCTATTAAACGTGTCCAGTAAAAAAATTTAAAAAATCAAATTTCGTCATAAATTTTGGCCAAAAAATGTATTCTGCTCCATGTCTTTGCTGAAAAAAAATCCCAATATGGGTAAATTAATTGGTTTATGTAAAAGTTATAGTGTCTACAAATGGCGGTATAGATAATGGGAGTTTTTGTTGAATTTTTTATTTCTTACTAGTAATGATGCCGATCAGTCACTTATAGCGGGACTGCAGCAGGCATTCTAACACTGGGGGGGGGGGGGGGGAACTGACTTGGTGACACTGACATCCCCAGTGACACCAATACAGTGATCAGTGCTAATAAAAAGCAATGACACTGTACTAATGGCACTTGCAGGAAGGGGTTAACATCTGGGGTGATCAAAGGGTTAACTGTGTGTTTACAAGGGGCTGTGTCTGTGTGCTTCACTGTAAGCACACTGCTTTGCATGGCTGTGCTGTGCACAGCCATGCAAAGCAGTGTGCAGGATCTGTCAGGGGGGAGAACTGTTTTGTTTACAAACAGTTCTCTCCCCCATCGGAGATGCTTGGCAATCACTGGGCACCAGCAAGTAATCACCGGCCGTGACCCGGTGATTGACAGCCGTGGCCGTGAATTGCGGCATGGGTAGAGCATGCGTGTGCCACGCACGCACCCCATACCCGGAAATTCAAAATCATGAATGTATACATGATTTTGCGCACCCGTGCCACCCTGTAGCAGAGTTTGGGCAGTTATTTACTCCTGCTTAACCGCTTCCCAACCGCCCTATAGCAGAACTACTGCTACAGGGAGGCAGGGCTGTGCAAAATCACATGTATATATACTTGATTTGCATTTCTGGGTAGGGGGTGCACGCACGCTGCCCTACCCACACGGCCATTGGTGGCTACAGATGTCGAACACCGGGTCCCAGCCGGTGATTCCCCGCCGGCACCCAGTGATTCCTCACTGGCACCCGGCGATCGCCAAGGAACACTGGCAGGGGAGAAGTCTGTATGTAAACACAGGTCTCTCCCCTGTCAGAGGGGACATGCTGCTTTGTATCTCTCTGCACAGCATGTCTCCCTAGTAAACACAAACAGCACAAAGTTAACCCTTTGATTGCCCCAGATGTTAACCCCTTCCTGCCCAGTGCCATTAGTACAGTGTCAGTGTTTTTTATTAGCACTGATCACTTTATTGGTGTCACTGGGGATGTCAGTGACACCAAGTCAGCTCCCCCTAGTGTCAGAATGCCCGCCACAGTCCGCTATAAGTCGCTGATTGCCGCCATTACTAGTATTAAAAAAAAAATGCAGTATATACTGTATACCGCAAATTATAATTGTATTGGGCTGCCTGCCTTTACACGCACATGTCGCCATTTGTAGACGCTATAAGGCTACGTTCACACTAGCGTTGTGTGCAGGCGGCAGAGAGGCGTTTGGGAAGCGTTTTTACCGCTTCCCAAACGCCTCTGGCAGTTCTGCACATTGCAACACATGGTTCTGTTCTAACGGGAGCGGGAGCGGTAGTGTCACGGTGCGGTAAAACGGACGCCTCTGGACGAGTCAGGAGGCGTTGAAGCCTCCTATTGTTGTCTATGGTGCCGTTCAGCAAACGCCCGGCGTTTGCGGGGCGTTTGCGGAGCGTTTGCAGGGCATTTGCGGGGCGGTAACACCATTCAAACTTCATTCTAGGCGTTTGTGGGGCGTTTTCAACGCTCGGCAAACGCCTAGCGACCGCCACTAAACCACGCATGCGGCGTTTGTGGAGCGTTTAAAAACGATCCGCAAATGCCGGACCAACGCTTGCCAAACGCTAGAGTGGCGTTTGGCAAGCGTTGGTAAAACAGTCAAGTGTGAACGAGCCCTAACTTTCACATAAACCTATTAATTTATACGTATTGGGATTTTTTTTAGCAAAGACACAGAGCAGAATACATTTTGACCGAAATTTATGCTGAAATTTGATTTTTAAAAAATGTTTTCTGGACACGTTTAGTAGCAAAAATTCAAAAATATAGTTTCTCAAAATTGTTGGTCTGTTTTTGTTTATAGCGCAAAAAATTAAAAACTCACAGGCGATGAAATACCACAGAAAGCTCCATTTGTGGGAAAAAAAAAGACATAAATTTCATTTGGGTGCGGGGTTGCATGACCATGCAATTTTCCATTAAATTAACGCAGCGCCGTTTCGCAAAACGTGGCCTGGTCAAGAAGGGGGGGAAATCCTCTGGAGGGCAAGTGGTTAAAAGAAAAGTATGGATTTAAAAAAAAAACAAAAAACAATAATACTCACCTAGATGGCTGCAGCACCAATCACAGCTGCAGCAGTCCCCAGCCACCTCTAAGACCAGGAACTGAGCTATCAAACACTTATGATCGCTCAGTTCTCGGTCTTCAACCTGTAGAGAATTGGTGACTGTCAGTCCTGTTGTTAGTAGATATGTGCGGAATATATCACTTGCAGAACGTCTGCTGCATCCCGGCCAGCACTTTGAAATTAACCCTGTATTCTTAACCTCTTCCCGTCCGGCCCATGTATATAAACGGCCAGACAGGAGCGCTGCTTATGTGGGTGGACATTTCTAAATGTCCCCCTGTACCCATTGCCTGTGCGCATTCTCTGGAAGCACATGGCACTGCGATCGGTACCCGCCGTGTCCTGAGAACACCGATCGTCGTACGGGACCTCTGTGTGAGGTCCTGATTCATGTGATCCCTGATTGGCCATTCAGTGATCACATGAATAGTAGTAAGCAAGATGTCACTTCCTGACATCATTGCTTATTACGTGTGAAATCTATGAATGATCACAGAGGTCACATGGTACAAGGCTATTCACAACAGCCTTGTACCATGTGACAAGCTGTGACCAATCACAGCTCACTCAGTAGTTCTCAATGGCTGCAGGAATGCAGCCAGAGAGAAGGAGAAATTATTGATTTTACAGCCTTTATGGGTGTAAAAGCAATCAGTGTAAAAACAGAAAAAAAAAAATCTCCATCGCCCCCCACAAGTAGTACAGTGTTACTATGGTGACACTGTATTGCTAGGGTGACAGTATGTTAAAAAAACATTAATAATATATAAAAAAAATAAAAATATAAATTTTTTTAAAAAATTATAATTTTTGGTTATAAAATAAATTGGGTTATTTTTTTTTACTAAAAATATAGATGAATACATTTTTGCCTATATTTTTGAATAAAAACGCTTTTTTTCAAAATTTTTGGACTTTTTCATTTATGTAGCAAAAAAAATAAAAATCCCAGTGGTGAATAAATACCACTAAAACAAAGTTCTATCTGTCTCAAAAAAATGCTAAACATTAATACGGGTACAGTGTTGCATGACTGCGCAATTGTCAAAGTGTGATAGCGCTGAAAATTGGCCTAGGCAGGAAGGGGGGGGGGGGGGGGGAAAGTGTCCGGACTGGAAGGGGGGGGGGAAAGTGTCCGGACTGGAAGGGGGGGGGAAAGTGTCCGGACTGGAAGGGGGGGGAAAGTGCCCGGACTGGAAGGGGGGGGGGGAAGTGTCCGGACTGGAAGGGGGGGGGGGGAAGTGTCCGGACTGGAAGGGGGGGGGGAGTGTCCGGACTGGAAGGGGGGGGGGGGAAAGTGTCCGGACTGGAAGGGGGGGGGGGGGGGGAAAGTGTCCGGACTGGAAAGGGGGGGGGGAAAGTGTCCGGACTGGAAGGGGGGGGGAAAGTGTCCGGACTGGAAGGGGGGGGAAAGTGTCCGGACTGGAAGTGGAACTGGTTCTCTTGTATTTATTGATGATGTGACTGCTGACAAAAGCAGCAGGATGAATTCTGAAGTGTTTCAGGCAATATTATCTGCTCATATTCAGCCAAATGCTTCAGAACTCATTGGACGCTGCTTCACAGTGCAGGATGGACAATGACCCAAAGCATACTGCAAAAGCAACCAAAGAGTTTAAGGGAAAGAAGTGGAATGTTATGCAATGGCCAAGTCAATCACCTGACCTGAATCTGATTGAGCATGCATTTCACTTGCTGAAGACAAAACTGAAAGGAAAATGTCCCAAGAACAAGCAGGAACTGAAGACAGTTACAGTAGAGGCCTGGCAGAGCACCACCAGGGATGAAACCCAACGTCTGGTGATGTCTATGCGTTCCAGACTTCAGGCTGTAATTGACTGCAAAGGATTTGCAAACAAGTATTAAAAAGTGAAATTTTTGATTTATGATTATTATTCTGTCCCATTACTTTTGGTCCCTTACCAAGTGGGAGGCACATATGCAAACTGTTGTAATTCCTACACCGTTCACCTGATTTGGATGTAAATACCCTCAAATTAAAGCCGACAGTCTGCAGTTAAAGCACATCTTGTTCGTTTCATTTCAAATCCATTGTGGTGTATAGAGCCAAAAATGTTAGAATTGTGTCGATGTCCCAATATTTATGGACCTGACTGTATTTTGAATAATATTTTTTTAAATATATGCCATTGGAAAATATATTTTAATTTACATTTCTGGAGTACATGTTAAAATATATTCGGGTAGGCCAATATGTTGTAAATATATGTTGCATGTATAATTTTTTTTCTAAATATATTGAAAATATATTTATCTTCCATATGGGCACATGCCGTGTTGAAATTCAGTTCAAAGGTCAAGGCTGAGATGTAAAGACCGTTCTATGGTAGTTCTGTACCTCTGTCAAACCAACAACTCAAGTTAAAGACTTTTTTCCCATCAGTACTGTCATCTGTACCCATTTCTTCATGTTCATCCTGATTTCAGGTTAATAAAGGTTTATTGGTAGGAATGAAATTTTCTGAAAACAGTTTGGGCTTCAATTATCTGTCAACACGCACTGCTTTAGGCAAATGTTTGGATAAATAAAAGCAGTTTATTATGTGTCAGACTGAAATCACACGCGGTCTTAAGAAAGGCATGACTTCAGAGACAAATAATAGGTGAGAATAACAACATCACCGGAATAACCCACATGGCAGAAATATTCTTCCAAATATATTGACATATATTTGAAATACTAAAATTTTGGCCATATTCTATTATATATATAATATATATAGAAATGCGTTTTTATTTAACAAAATATATTAAAAATATTTTTAAAAATACATTTCAAATATACTATATGTCTTTACAAATACAAATCTACATTTTTGGAATGCATTTACAAATATATGTAAAATTATATGATAAACTGACTTTTTTATATGTTAAAAAGAATATGAAGAATATATTTAACCACTTATAAATGGCCTCCCCGCACCCTGCTTGTGCACGCTCCCCGGGAGCACGCAGCACCGCGATCCAGTGCCCAATGTGTCCTCCGGACACAGTGAAACACCGATCGTTCGGACGGGACCTCTGTACGAGGTCCCGATCATGTGATCACTGATTGGCCAATCAGTGATCACATGCAGAGTAGTAAGCAAGATGTCACTTCTGACATCAATTGCTTACTACGTGTGAAATCTGTGAATGATCACAGAGGTCACATGGTACAAAGCTATGCAGAACAGCCTTGTACAATGTGGACAAACTGTAACCAATCACAGCTCACTCAGTAGTTCTCAATGGCTGCAAGAATGCAGACAGTGAGAAAGAGAAATGATTGCTTTTACATCCTATATGGTGTAAAAGCAATCAGT